CAGAGCTCTGGGCAGGGAAAGTGGCTGTGGTGAGGTCAGGGCTGCTGCAGTCCAGCTGGGGGGTGACCACAGAACATTTAGAAACCAAGAAGTAGAGACAGAACCCACAGGCGGAGGGGTGGGGGGGGGTCCTTCGGAAAGAAGTGCCAGGATGGGGATGCAGAGCGCCCCTGGGAGCATGGGCTGTGCTGCGGATTTCAGAGTCCGGAGCACTGAGCTGGGCCTTCCTGGGACCAGCCCAGACAAGCTGGGCTTCCTGTTTCTGAGACTGCCTCAGGGTGAGTCAGCTGAGGGCTAAGACAGGTTCCAACATTTCATTCAAGGGGGGAAATAAATCAGCACCTCTCTCAAAAGAGCATCCACCCGCCCATGGTTAATTCGCTACTGGGCTAAGTGTTCTAAGGAGCGGTGGTGGGAATGTGTGACTTTGGGCTCTAGTGGGAGTCTCTGGCTCTATGCTTCTGTATGCTAGGAAGAGAGGCACAGAAGCAAGGACAAAAACTACATGAGGGGCAGGATTTGGGCCACGCCCAGCTGTGCTCAGGGATCACTACAGGCAGTGCTTGGGAGAACCATAAGAGATGCCGGGGAGGGGCTGGAGCAATAGCGTAACGGGTAGGGCGTTTGCCTTGCACACGGCTGACCTGGGTTCGATTCCCAGCTTCCCAGCATCCCATATGGTCCCCCGAGCACCACCCAGGAGCGATTCCTGAGTGCAAAGCCAGGAGTAACCCCTGAGCATTGCCGGGTGTGACCCAAAAAGCAAAAAAATAAAAAAATTTTAAAAAAAGGAGAGATGCTGGGGAAACGAACCCAGCTTGGCTGTGTGCAAGGAAAATTATTTAACCTTCACACTACCTCTCCACTCTTTATTTCATTAATTTTTTTTGGTCACTGTGAGAGAGATTTACAAAGCTGATCATGGTTGTGTTTTAGTCATATAGTGTTCCAACACCCATCCCTCCACCAATGTACATTTCCTACCACCAACGTCCCCAGTTTCCCTCCCAGGACCCTTTCTGCAGCTTATCTCCATGGCAGGCAATTTTCTTCTCTCTCTCTCTCTCTCTCTCTCTCTCTCTCTCTCTCTCTCTTTCTCTCCCTCCCTCCCCTTTGAAGCATTATGGTTTGCAATACAGATATTGCCTCTCCAGCCTTTAGAAGCCTTTAGACAGGAGTACGAAATAAGCTTTCCTTCTCTTGGCTGCGAACGCCCTACCCGCTGTGCTAGGGCTGGAGCGATAGCACAGCGGGTAGGGCGTTCGCCTTACACGCGGCCAACAGGGCCGACCCGAGTTCGATTCCTCCGCCCCTCTCGGAGAGCCCGGCAAGCTACCGAGAGTATCTCGCCCGCTCGGCAGAGCCTGGCAAGCTACTGTGATGTACTCGATATGCCAAACACAGTAACAACAAAGTCTCCAATGGAGACGTTACTGGGCCCGCTCGAGCAAATCGACGATCAACGGGAGGGCCTTTACCTTTACCTTTTACCTCTCTTGGCTGCACTCAGGGAAGTCATTTTTTCATATCCCTGTGCATATGACGGGTAGAAGACAGCAGGTATACTCTAGAACAAAGCTTCTCAAACTGCCGATATCACCAGGAAGCCCCAAAAGGAGCAGGTGCAGGCTCCCCGCCTTCTCCAGATGGAATCCCGGTGACCATGAGCTTCTACAAGCACGGCTCCGGTATGTGGCTATCAGGACTATTCCTCCGAACCACGCGACCTTTCCTGACATACAGAGTGAGCAATGAAAAATAAACGATCTAGCGTCTGCCCCTGGAAGGCAGGTCTGAATGGTGATGGGAATATCCGAGCAAAATATAATGCCCCAAACTAGGAAAAGAGTATCTGAGCAATTGTTTGCCGTAGCGGCAGGGTAAGGACTGGGATGGAAGTGGGAGGAATAATGGGGATATTGGTGGTGGGAAGTTTGCACTGGTGGAGGTATGGGTGATCAATCATTGTATAGGTGAATATCAAACATGAAAGCTTTGTAACTGTGTCTCACTGTGGTTCAATAAAAAACTAAAAAAATAAAAAAGCTTCTCAAACTTTAGCACATCTGTGCCAATCACCAGGGAACACTGTTAAAAGCAGATCCTGGGGGGCTGGAGTGATAGCATAGCAGGTAGGGCGGGTTTGATTCCCAGCATCCCATATGGTCCCCCGAGTACCGCCAGGAGTAATTCCTGAGTGCATGAACCAGGATGTACCACCCGCTGTACTATCTCTCTAGCTCTCACAGTATGTTTATTTATTTATTTATTTATTCATTTTTTTGCTTTTTGGGTCACACGCGGCAATGCACAGGGGTTACTCCTGGCTCTGCACTCAGGAATTAGTCCTGGCGGTGCTCAGAGGACCATATGGGATGCTGGGAATTGAACCCGGGTCGGCCACATGAAAGGCAAAAGCCCTACCTGCTGTGATATCGCTCCAGCCCCCTAGCCCTCACAGTGTGTTTAAAGTAATTCTCAGAAAACCCAAAACATCATGGGTTGTAAACATAAAAAAAAAAAAACAGAACCATGAGGCCAGGATGTGACTCACAGGGGAGAGCACAGGCCTTGCAGGTGAGAGGTCCTGGGTTCAATCCCTGACACCCCCAGCACTGCTCAGAGTATCCGAGTATCCTACTCCCCCTCCTCTGTGCATCACCAGGTGTCACCCAAAAAGCAAAAAAAAAAAAAAAAAAGCAGATCCTGGTGAGCAGATACAGCCTGAACGCTGCATTTCTGACAAGGTCCCGGTGATGTCACTGCTGCTGGTCAGACGAGCAGACACACAGTGGGCAGCAGACCCAGGCTGAAGTTTTCAAACTTGGCCTCCTCCTGGACTCTATTCGGCAATTTTATAAACTCTGAGCCCCACCGCTGTTTCTGATTTTGCTTATCATGCAAAAAGAGCAGACCTCTCTTTCCCTGTCTTAAGAAAGTGCCTCCTAATTACTTCAAAAGTAATGTTTTTAGGACCAAAAAGTAACCATGCAAACGATCTGTTCCCTAAGCAGGAAATCAGCTGACTGATAATTTCCAGAGTTCTCTGTAGAAACATTCTAAGCATGGCTTAGCTTTCACAAAGCAACAAAGTTGAATTCTAGCCTCTGCAGCTGTTTCTAGGTCTCTGCTGGACTCCAGGAAATTACTCCAGAGTGCTGTAAATATTTAACTAGTCTGTTTGCTGATGCCAGGCTTAGTGTGTAACTGGCAGAGGAAGGGAAGCCCCTTTCAACGCAGTTACCATCAGCTGCTCTGAGATCAGCAGGGAAGAAAGTTAGTAAGACAACCCACCTAGAATGTGCACAAAGTGGGTCTTGGAGAGACTGAGACCTCCAGAATCATGGCCATGGGGTGTTTGCTGCTGTTTTGGGGTGGTGGGAGAGGGATTTTGTTTTGGGGTTACAGTGCTCAGGGAACCATGTGTGGTGATGGGGATTGAACCTAGGTCGCTGTGTGTGAGGCAAGCATCCTATCTGCTGCTGTACTATCTCTCTAGCCCTCATAGGGTGTTTAAAGTAATTCTCAGAAAACCAGAAACACCATGGGTTGTAAAAGTAAGTAAGTAAAAGTAAAGGCCCTCCCGTTGATCATCGATTTGCTTGAGCGGGCCCAGTAACATCTCCATTGGAGACTTTGTTGTTACTGTGTTTTGTTGTTACTGTGTTTGGCATATGAATATGTCACGGGGAGCTTGCCAGGCTCTGCCTTGCGGGAGGGCAAGATACTCTCGGTAGCTTGCCGGGCTCTCCGAGAGGGGCGGAGAAATTGAACCCGGGTTGGCCGCATGCAAGGCAAATGCCCTACCCACTGTGCTATTGTTCCAGCCAGACCCATAAATAAATCTCAAAAGACATCAAAAGCTGCAGTTAATCTCAGACCCGTGCAAGAATGAACAGACCACGGTGAAGTGGAGAGGGGCAGATTAGCCTGGTGCCTGCCCAGCCGCTTGCCGCCACAATCCAAAATCGCCGCTATGCCTCTGGCCAGATTCCAACCCCACAAGTCTTGGGATGAACCACACTGAAATATCAATCCGTTGAAAATTCATATATGCAGGTTTTGTGACCGAAATCTCCAGACTTTCTCGGAGTTGGAGTGGGCTACCATCTCCCACCTCCCTATACTGCTGGAAGCATCGGCAGTCACCCCCACCATGTTAGCTCTTCTACAAACCTTGCTTCAGAGACCTGCAATTCTCAAAAGAGATCATCCCCCAACATTGCCAATGTTAGTCCTGGACCCGAGCAAGGCTGAACAGATCAGGGTGAACTGGAGGCGGGTGGGTCAGCCTGGTATTGGCCCAGAGTTCCCAGCAGCCACTTGCTTCCACCATCAAAATTGCTGCTGTGTCCCCAGCCGGACTCCACTGTCTCAGGACGGACCTCACTGACATACCATCTGCTGAGAATTCGGGTATGTGGGTTTTGTGACTGAAATCTCCAAGTGTTCTCAGGGTCAGGATGAACTACCTCCCCCACCCCTGTATTTCTGGAAGTCTTGGCAGTCATGTCTGCACCCCAAAGCTGTCACCCAGATGAAAAAGCTACTCTAGCCTTACCCTCCCGATAAAAATACTGATGCCCTGAACAAACACAGTGACCTCCTTGTACCTGTATTGCATCAGGAGCATTTTTAGAAGTCCCTCTCCCTCTCTTTTTAATTTAATTTTTTTTGGTCAACCAGGGGTGCTCAGGGGCTATTCCCAGCTCTGTGTCCAGGGGTTTGCTCCCTCTGGTGCTTGGTGGATCATGTGATGCCAGTCACAGATCTGGAGTCACAAACGCCTTAACCCTGTGCTATCTTGTGGTCCACAAGTATTACTTTATTACACAGCTATACTTAATTAAAATCTGATACATACTAGGGAATGAAAAATGCTCCATAACAAGCACATACATCTCACCTTTGAAAGCAGTGTTTATCCCACATAAGTTACCTCCAGGAAAAATGAGAGCCCTCTTGCCTTTTGACCATAGCACACAGAATCTTTTGCTTACCAGTGTAGTTTGCAGAGTAGTTGTTTGGATCTAAAAACTTCTTAACCAGTTCACAATTAGACAAGATATGATTTGTGGTGATAACATTGAGATAGTTCTGAAGACCTTTCTGCCTCTCGGCTATGAATTCACGATCCATGTTGCCAATCAGTTTTTTGGGAGGAAGAGGTAGACTTAGGCCTGCAATCTAGAATAATAATTTAAAAAGGTATTACATCCATGCCATTCCCAAGTAAAATAGAACACTTTTATGCATTATCAATAAATTATAAATGGCAAAATTATGCTTTCACAATCCTGACCTCACTCTCCCACCCTCCCCACCACCAATTCTGCCCCTATTATTTCCAATATAGTTAGATTACAGTTTCATTATGCTATTCTTGCTTACATCAGATAAATGATATCTATAGCTAAAACAAAAAGTCATGCTGATTTTTATTTTAGAAAGCCGTAGGTCCATTTTGGTAACTGGCAGTGTATATATAAAAATTTTTTCTGCTTGGTCTTCAACTCTGAACTCTTTTTTTTTTTTTAAATTTTAATTAGTGAAGCACCATGAGGTACAGTTGTAGATTTACAAATTTTTGTGCCTGGGTTTCAGTTATACAATGATCAAGTACCCATCCCTCCACTAGTGCCCATTCTCCACCACCAATGATCCCAGTATCCCTCCCACCCCCCCTCAACTCCAAACTCTTTAAATCTTCTCAATCTAAACCTTCAACTCCAGCCCTTTGCGATATCTCTCCTGCCCCTTTAAAAAAAATGGGGGGCTCACACCTGGCAGTGCTCAGTAATCATTTCTGGCAAGACTGAGGGTCCATATGGGGATTAAAGCTGTACTAGCCACATGCAAGGTAAGTGCCCTACCTGCTGTATTATCTCTTCAAACCCTTAACTTCTTATCTAAGATTATTGAATGTTTCTCTGAAGTACCTAAAATGATCTTATAGCACATGTTGTTTCCTGAAGGTTAGGTTGGCTGTCCCTCCCTCCCTCCCTTCCTCCCTCCTTCTCCCCCTCCCCTCCCTCCCTCCCTCCTTCCCTTCCTTCCTCCCTCCTTCTCCCCCTCCCCTCCCTCCCTCCCTTCCTTCCTTCCTTCCTTCCTTCCTTCCTTCCTTCCTTCCTTCCTTCCTTCCCTCTCTCCCTCCCTCCCTCCCTCCCTCCTTCCTCTCCTCCTCCCTCCCCGCTTTCTCTTTCTCTTTTTGTTACAGCCCTTATCTTCCGATGCTGGAAGTTAGGATCTGGTAATCTTAGGTTGTGGGTTATCTGCTTATATTAAGAGCAAAGCACCAAACACTGTCTAGAAGCTCCTGGGGTTATCTGCTCGGGGCTTATCTGCAACTCATGACTTCACAGTTGTTTTATGGGCAAAACCTGTGACTTCAGTCTTTAACTTTCTTCTCTTTTTCTTTGTGTGTGTGTCTGTGTACATATAAGATCACTTCCCTGTTGTGTTGAGTGGTTTTGGGGAGAAGGATAAGTAAATACATGTGTTCAGTCCATCCAGATTTGTTAAAATTTTGAGAGATGGAGAGATAGTACAAGGATTAAGATTCTTACCTTGTATTCTGCAGAACCCAGTTCGTATCTCTGGCATGATATATGGTACTCTAAGCACTACCAAGAATCTTTCTTGCGCACAGAGCCAGGAATAGCCCTAAGCACCACAAACTATGGTCCCATACACCCCCTTAAAAAACAAACAAACAAACTGGTGGCTGGCTGGAGAGCTAGTACAGTGAGTAGGGTAGGGCATTTGCCTTGCATGCAGCCAACCCAGGTTCAATTCCCAGCATCCCCTGTGTGGTTTCCCGACCCCCCCCGCCCCAGCACTTCCAGGAGTAATTCCCGAGTGGAGAGCCAGGAGTAACCCCTGAGCATCGCTGGGTGGGGGGTCCAAAAATAAAACAAGACAAAAATCCTTTTGAGGTGTGTGTGTGTGTGTGGGGGGGGGGGGTGGTCTTTGTGTATTACAGTGCCAGGGACCAACCCAAGTCCAGGCCTCACATATGCAAGGCAGTAGAGTAATCCCTAACCTCTGCAGAATAACAATGCCAAGGACATATGGTCACTCAAATGGGGTCCAGAGCCCAGAGTCAGACCGGCTAGTAGCAGAGCCTCTACATTACATGACACACTGAATCTGTCTCGAGGAAACTAGCTCTTGTCTGGAGCAAAGGTCTTCAAACTCTGAGCTCATTCACGTCTCAGCTTCACATCATGCCAAGACTGGATCTCAGTGATCTGCAAATTGCCTTCAACTCCGTTCCAGTAAGTATTCTGGGGAGTTACATACTCTTTACGTAAAGACCCTTAATTTGTCTTAATTTCTCCCCAACTACATGGCACTCTCTCTGGTGTCAACAATGGGCAGTATGTAGAACTGTACTGTCCTGTAGCACTGTCCTCTTGTTGTTCATTGATTTGCTCGAATGGGCACCAGTAATGTCTCCATTGTGAGACTTGTTGTTACCGTTTTTGGCATATCGTGGCAATACGCCACAGGGAGCTTGCCAGGCTCTGTTGTGCGGGCAGTATACTCTCGGTAGCTTGCCGGGCTCTCCGAGAGGGGCGGAGGAATCGAACCCAGATCAGTCGCGTGCAAGGCAAACGCCCTACCTGCTGTGCAATCACTCCAGCCCTGTGCTATTGCTCTAGCCCAATGAGCAGTATAACAGGTCCAAAAGCTGCCTGGTTCCAATGGGGAAGGCGAGGACCAGGAGGGGAGGCTGAGCCCAGGTCCTGGAGTAGGGCTCAGGCTGGGCTCCTCTCCCAGTGCGTGGGTTCTCTGCTCAGTCCCCATCATTTCAGTTCTGTGCTTTTTCCTTTTTCTTTGTTATATGTTGTCTCCCAAGACAGTGACTTTGGTTATTTGCCTTTAAATTTTGGGGGTGGCCTCTTGGTGTTCAGCACAGGCTGTGTTTATACCGACTATACAGAAAATTGAGAAAGTACAACTTTTCCCCCTACAAGCTTATTTTCCATAAGTTTGTTTGTAGAGAACTTGGAGAGTTCAGAACAGTATAAAGTAACAAAAGGAAAACATAACTCATAATCCCACCACCTGAGATCACCATTGTGAACATTCTGGCATGTTTCCCTTTTATCTTTTATTCTAAACAGTTTATATAATTATACCATACTGCACATATAATTTTACATCCTGGGTTTTTTTTTTATATTGGATTTTTTTCCTATTGGGCTTAGTCTTTGCATATGTGTATTACATTTCCCTTTCTTCAGCAGGAATTCATTTATCTGTCAGAAGGGTAATCAGACACTGAAAATCATAGTCACAGTTTTACTTAGTGGTTTTGGAGTCCTTTTAGGTCTATTTTTTTGGAGATTGTTTTGAAATTATTTTGTTGGCAAAAGCTGTATGTTCTTTCTTCTGTTTGTTTACTTGGATCTGGAAAAACCTCCCACTGAAATGATGTCTGGCCATATCCTACCTAACATAAGCCAACATCAATACATGTGAATATTTGCATTTGAAATAAGATGCGCATCAAAAGAGCAGATTTCAAAGGGGAAAATTACACTGAAGCAAAAATAAAATCCATTAGAACGTCCATAACTGAATAGTTCTGGAGATTCACACTTAATACCCAAATCAAGAACAAATACGAACTAAAATCCTTCTTCCCATCCCAGATCCCACCCATCCCCCCCATTCCCGAAGGGTGGGTCCAGGCATTTTTTATTTCAGTAATATTTTTTTTTTTTGCCTTTTTGGGTCACACCCGGCAATGCACAGGGGTTAATTCCTGGCTCATGCACTCAGGAATTACTCCTAGCGGTGCTCGGGGGACCATATGGGATGCTGGGAATCGAACCCAGGTCATTCAGGTTGGCTCCGTGCAATGCAAACACCCTACCCGCTGGGCTATTGCTCCAGCCCCAATTTCAGTAATATTTATGACACGATTCTTACTCAGCTCTCGTTGAAGAGTATTGTAAAAGATCACTCTCCGACCTTTAACACTGGGCAAAGGTTTACTTGTACATAAGATGAGAACACATAGTAGGGCCAATACTAATGCCCAAATGACCTATAAAACATGGAACATGGAAAAGTCTGGAAGGACTTGTGAAGAAAATCCTTTGCTGGGATAAACTGTATATCTGTGCTTTACCTACATTCTTATCACAGGCTTGGCTTTAACTAGAAAGAACACAGCACTAAATCAATTAATATTCTTTTGAATTTATTTTTATTAAAACACTGTGATGGGGGCCAGAGCAATAGCGTAGTTGATAGGGTGTTTGCCTTGCATGTGGCCGACCAGGGTTGGATCCCTGGAATCCCATATGATCCCCTCGAGCGCCACCAGGAGTAATTACTGAGTGCAGAGCCAGGAGTAACCCCTGAACATCAGGTGTGGCCCAAAAAAACCAAAAAATAAAAAAATAAAAATAAATTTAAAAAATAACAACAACAGCAAAAAACCCACCGTGATTTACAAAGCTGCCCATAATACAGTTGTTCCAGGAATTTAGAGTTCCAACTCTACTGGCGTGACTTTCTCTCCACCAGTGTTCCCAGTTCCCCTCCCAACTTCAACCTGCCCCCCGCCCCCCCCCCAGACACGTAACAGATTTACTTTACATGGCTTGCTCCAACAAAAGTTAAAGAAATGGCAAACTGAATGATCAAAAGCTGAATCAGTAAAAGCCATTTCTGATAGCTACATAATTTTAACCTATGTAAATAAGGAAATTAAAACCATTTAATACAACATAGTAAAATGCCTATTTCACTTACATAAGTGAATTTTCGACTCTGGGATCTAAAAGATATTGCATTGAATTTTGTTTTGCACTTGGATCTCATGGTAATAATCATGTTTTACTTTAATAAAACCTTTTAAAAAATTCTGTGCTAACGTATTTTTTGGAGTTTACATAAAATAGGTAAGGCCTATGTATGTAAAACTGTCCCCCCCCACTTTAAACACTGTGGTTAACAAGTTATTCGTGATGATTTGTTACAGGCATTCAATATTCCAACACCAGTCCCACCACCACTATCACTGTCTCCAATTTTCTCAACACCTCTCAAGTCTTCCCCTGTAGCAGCCCCACAAGAATATATATATAAAAAAAAATATTTCTTTAGAAGAAAATTAGTGTACATTGTTGTGTCTCACCATGGAGGCATTAAGTCCCTAGATGAGGGATTACTAAAATGCTGTTACAAGTTAAGCCTGCTGTGTTAATGTTTTTGTTAGTTGCGATTGGCTGGCTTCTACGTTACATCCCATCTAATCTGGTGTGCTACTGCCAGATTATCAGTGCTGTAGAGTTTGGAGATGTTGTGCAGCTGTGGATGCAGCCGTGCGCGCCAGGAAATACGGGATTTTTAATTGGGTGGTACAGCTGGAGTTAAGTTTTTAACTGGGTTCTGCCAATATCCCAACTGGAGAGTTTAACTGGCCATCCTATAATTAAAATTTTAAAATAACACATGCATCAAATCATGACAACATGGCAATTACATAAAATTGCGCAGACGCTGGGCTGATTCTATCTGAAGGTAAAGAAGACATTCCTGCTTTCGGTGTGCTGCAAATAATGTTAAAGTTTAGACTCTGCAAGTGCTATTTTCCAAAGTCTAGTTGATAAAACAGCTTCTGAAGGGAAGGAACGTCAGCTGCCGCCCAGCTGGCAGTCCTGACCTCCAGGAACAGGCACAGAGATGAAGGTGAAGATGCTGCGTCACCCATGGAGGACGCCTAAGGGTGGAGTTGTTCATAAACCAAGTGCTCTGGCTCAGGTTTCAAGGACTGTTACCAATACAAACTGAGGTGTGATTAAAAATCCAATGGGCTACAGTCATCCATGGCACTCGACGACAATCTGCCAAGTACAGACATGGGTGGTACTGCCAGGAGGTTCTATGATATTCATGACCCTCGGGGGGCCTTTAAATCTTTCTGAGCTCTATGTTTCCAAAGGAGAGACTTGCAACACATCCCAGTTTCCATTAGGGCTACCAAGCTGGGAATGTTTAAATTGAAGAGATTCAAAATGAGATAAGCAAGAAAGAAAAAGAATTACACCAAAAAAAAGTCTCTGGTTCCTTCTGAATGTTGACTGTAAGCCTAAATGAGTAACTTGAGCAATCCATTCATCATCCCTAATTTATGGGAGGGAGGAAAGATCGAGCACTTCATTTAAGGCAGGGGTGCAGAGTCTACACAAAAGAACTCAGTTGCAAAGCGACTGTTACTTACAAATCACATATCTGTGCCTGAAAATATATATACATTTGTGTTTTGTTTCACTCTGGGGTGTTAGGGATCAAATTTAGGACTTCATCCATGTGACCTATGCACTCTACCACTAATAGTCACATATACTGTGAAGAGTCACAGCATCTGTTGAAAGTGTGAAATTACCTTCTTTGCCGGGGAAATTTGTTAATCAATTACTCTTGATATTGCCATTTCAAATCAATATGTGTTATGGTGTTTCAAAATATTTACCTGCAAGTTGTTGTTCAGCAAGTCAAAGTCACTATATCTCCTGACAACCTGTAAGAGACAGGACAGTATTATGATTTTGAAAAAAAAAAAATTTTTTTTCTTACGATTTTCTTAGGGCTGGAGCTATAGCACAGCGGATAGGGCATTTGCCTTGCGTGTGGCCAGCCTGGCCAAGCCAGGTTCGATTCCTCTGCCCCTCTCGGAGAGCCCGGCAAGCTACCAAGAGTATCTCGCCTGCACAGCAAAGCCTGGCAAGCTACCTGTGATGTATTCAACATGCCAAACACAGTAACAAGAAGTCTCACAATGGAGACGTTACTGGATCCGCTCGAGCAAATCGATGAACAACGGGAGGACAGTGCTACAGTGCTACAATTTTCTTGTTTTATCAGCATCCTTTCCATGGCAGAGCCTGGCAAGCTCCCCGTGGTGTATTCAATATGCCAAAAACTGTAACAATAAGTCTCACAATGGAGATGTTACTGGTGCCCGCTCAAGCAAATCGATGAACAATGGGACAACAGTGCTACGGTGCAGAAGCATCCTAGGGTCAAGTCACTTACACTAAGGACAATAGATCTTATAACTGGTGCTTAACTTTCTCATCCCAGAAAACAGACTTAGCGCTTAAATGATGTATTTGTTTTCAGGAGAAATAGTCTTTCATATTTTTTCCAGTTTTACTGACAGATAGCACATCACAAATTTAAAGTATACAGCATAGAGGACCAGAGTGACAGCACAGCACACAGCCAACCCTGATCTTCGGGCACAGAGACAGGAGTAAGCCCTGAGCACCGCTAGGTGCGGCACCAAAATAAAAACCAACCAAAAAATACATTATACAGCAAAATGATTGGAAACTTACATATGTTGTCAAATGATTAATTTTATAAGTTCAACACTTTCAAATGTCTTTCTTACTAGTCATCTGGAACCAGGAAAAGATAATGTACCAAAAAAATAAAAGTATTGCTGAACATGAAATCAAGCAAAGGGCTGACAGCTCACGATATTCGTGCCCTGGATAAAACCTTCCCAGTTATGATTCTACTGACCCTAAAGTCTGTATGGCCACATCTCTCCCCATGCCCCAGGCCCCCTCTTCCACTGGTTGTTCTTTCATCATCTGCACTTTTCTTTTTATTCTTTTATTTTCATGTGGAGGAGGCCATCTGAGCCTCCCAAACACTCAAGGGGCTCAGGGGCCACTCTTGGCAATACTCAGTTCCCTGGGCTGGCAGTTCAATGCGAGGGTCCAAAGCACAGCACTGCTCAGGCCCTGTGGTACTGGGAAGCCCAGATCAAGCACAGCTTAGCAAGTATCCACATCACTACACTGTCTCCTAACTAATAATGTCTTAAACCAGTGGTAAGCAAAGGATTAAAACAAAATTATTACAGTTTTGGCAATATGGTTACAATACTCGAGTTTTGTAGCTCTTTTTTTCTTTCCCGTTTTATAGCTTTGAAGTACAAAGTCATCCCACCACCACCTTCAGTAAAGTGCCCATGAGCCTTCACCCCTGTCCACATGTCATCACTTCTGGTCTGATCTTCAAAAGACTTAAGTTTTTCTGAAGTCACATTGGTGCCAGAGATTAGACCATGCCCATTTCTACTAGCTTGGTGCAAAGAATTATTTTGCTTCTGAGCACTTTGACTTTAGCTTTTAGTGATGATTCACAAACGTGTTATGTGTGAACGAATTACCTGGAGATTACCTAGGACCCCATGCACAGGGAGATCTAACCTGGAAGTGTAGGGTAGAGCCTTACTAACTATTTTTTGTTAAATATTCTCCAGAAAGCACTGAATCTGGAAAACTGTGTCAAACATCAATTTTTCTAGTAGAACACTGCTGTTGGCTCTGCTTATCAGACATACATCAAAACATTAAATAAATGCAAGATGTGAATGGTAACACAGCAGGTAAGCACAGAGAATACTCAAATTGCAAGCCTGTTCTATCACTAAGTGTACCAATGGACCAGTTAACTACCTCCTAAATGTAAAGTGGAGCTAGTACCACCGAGGACTGATTTTTGAATTGTTTCTGCTTGGACCAGGGCTAACACTTAACAGCACTTTATAAGGGCTCAACAGAGATGATAAACATTGTAAGCACGGGGGGCCAGTAGGGCATTTGTCTTGCACGCAGCTGACCTGGGTTCAACTCTGGCATCCCAACTCATGGTTCCCTGGAGCCTGCCAGAGTGACCCGGAGTGCAGAGCCAGTAGTTAGCCCTGAGCACCACTGGGTGTGGCCCCAAGACCAGTGTTAAATAAATAAATAGACATTGTAAGAATTCAAACAAAAAGGCAGACTGAAATTCCAAGCAAAGAGAAGACAAGTGCAGACCACTGTATTCAGAGGCTGCGTGCGCTGAGAGGTTAGGCTTGAGACGGACTGTGAGGAACAACCGAGGGTTTTTCGGAATGAGGAAAGTAGTCACAGGAAAGAAATGGCCCCTCATCAGCACTGTCAGCCACTTTGTCTCTACAAATCAGCCCAGATGGAAGAACTTTGGATGCAAAATTTCTCTCTGAGTTCATGACTCAGGAAGCTGGGCCAGGGCCGTGGGAAGACCCGCAACGGAGTCCCAGAGGGAGCCACAAGGAGCCCATGAAATCCAGTGTCTAAAACGGTGCACTGTCCGGGATAGCGACTGGCCAGTCCACCTCCATCAGTGAGTGAATTCTAACCTCCCCTATCTAAACCATAGCCACAAGAGAGAGGCTGGAGTTCCTAAAACAAAACGGGCAACTCTCATATCCTGTTTACCCTTCCCTCAAGGTGGAGAGTAAAGTTTAAAATGCTGCCCAGGTTAACACCAAACACAGATGCAACCAAACTGGGAAAATAAAAGCCGTTTATAACACGTGTCTGACTGTTAAAGGCTTCTACATATGGCTTCTATGTAAGAGAAATATGATTTGTATTTGTGTCTTACTCAAGATAATTTTTGTTTGAAAAAGTTTTCAATAGTGTTTTAACGTCAAAAATACTCACCTGCCAACTATTTTCTATAGAAATTCCTCTTTGCACTCGAATGATATATTCCTGGAAAAAAAAAAAGAGAGAGGAGAGCTTCAATTATTTTTAAAATTTTAGGCACCATGATTTCCAATATTAAATGACAGGGCTTCGTGTGAGCACCGTTCCAACACCACACCCACTCACCAGACCATCCCCCTCAGTTATAAATCCACAAATCATAGGCTCAAAAGTAAATGAAAATATCAGATAAAGTACACGTCGGCCCAATAAATTTAATTAGCATTTACAGAATACTCCACTCAACCACAGCAGAAAATGTTCTTTTCGAAAGATATACAAATGACAAATAAGCACATGAGAAGATGTTCGACATTAGTAGTCATCAGGGAAACACACATTAAGATCACCAGGAGATCTCCTCACACGTCTATCACACTGGCTGAAATAAAACGATGAGCTCAAATGCTGGCCAGAACTTAAAGAAAGAGGATCCTCTCACATCATTAATGGGGAAATAAAATGCACAGCCACTTTGGACAATCTGGCAGTTTCTTTAAAAAAAAAAAAGCCTAGACATGACCTAGTCCTTACATTTCTATTCAGAGAAAGAGACAGATCTGTTCACACAAGGACAGGCACAGCAGCTGCACGAGGGCTGGTTCAGAAGAAGAAACAAGCCAGATGTTCCTCAGCACATGAGAGATTGTCACTGTCACTGTCTTCCCATTGTTCACTGATTTGCTCGAGCGGGCCCAGTAACGTCTCCATTGTGAGACTTTGTTGTTACTGTATTTGGCATATCGAATACGTTACAGGTAGTTTGCCAGGCTTTGCCGAGCAGGCAAGATACTCTCTTGCTCTCCGAGAAGGGTGGAGGAATCAAACTAGGGTCCTAGGCTGCATGGGCCGCGTGCAAGGCAAACGCCCTACCTGCTGTGCTATTGCTCCAGCCCACATGAGAGATTAGACTCTAATATATATACTCTAATATATCTCCTGCCCCCGTGCCTGGCTATTCCTCGCCGGGGCCTTTGGAGGGGAGCGGGTTGAGCTTTCCTCCCCGCCCTGGCCAGGGCCCCAGCAGCCGAAGACCTCCAGGACCAGCCACCACCATGCTGAGACCACTCTCCGCACACCTGAAGGTACCGGCAGAGGGACAAAGCCACGTGGGTTCCGGGGCCGAGATCTCCAAGCCTACTCAGATCGGAGTCGAGCATCCTCCACCCAGATCCTCCAAACTCCAGTAGGCGGGGGTCACACCCACCAACTGGCCCCCTGGCGCCGTGTAATCCCATCAGCGGCCAAGACTCAGAGATTATAAAAACCAGCTCCCAGAACCGTGCGGCCGCGCAACATCTTATTATGACATTTCATTCCTACTTTGACAAACTGGCAGGCTACCGAATGTAGCCTGCCCACACGGCAGAGTCTGGCAAACTCCCCGTGGTGTACCCAATATGCCAAATACCAGTAACAATGATGGGTCTCATTCTCCTAAAGAGCCTTGAATATAATCTCAGGGCTAGGATGAAGGAGACGTTACTGGGGCCTGCTCGAGGCAATCGACGAATAATATATACATATATATGTATATATATATATCTCGAAAAGGAATAAATGAACAATACAACAACTTAGATGAATCACGAAGGTAAAGCAAAGGAGAAGACTTTGAGGAGTGGGGAACGTAGGAGAAGAGAAAGGGAGGGGGAGGAAGGCAGGGAGAGAAGGGGCACGGGGGAATTATTATATGCTGTATGACTCCTTTAATAGAACATAAAATGAGAGAATTAGAGAATAAATTAGAGAGAATAAATGAGAATAAATTAGATATTAATAAATTAGATAATTTATTAGATAATAAATTAGATAACTGAGATAAAGAGAGAATAAATAAATGAGAGAATTAGCGAGAATAAAATGAGACAATGAGAGAATTAGAGGCGTGGAGACAAAGGTGTATGTGAGAGACATGAGACCACAGAAGGGCAGAGTGAGGTACTACTGAAACAGAGAGGCAGAGGGAAAGGGCCCCACACACCTTATGGCAACGAGTTCTTAGGAAAAATAAAACCAACTCGTCCTAAGGCTGCCAGGATCCATTTGTGGACACAGAAACTCAGGCCTTATAAGATCTTCAACTGGCAAGAGCACAGACTCTGAGAAGGCCGGACCTGCTCCCAGAGAAGCTGCAGCAGGAACAAAGGCCAGGAAGGAAATGTCAAAGACCACTGCTCCCAATTCTGCCCCTTTGCAACCACCCTAGTAATGACTCTGCCCTAGGCAGACAGCTCCAGGTGAGGCCGATTGGGAGAAACCATACATAAGCCAGTTTCAACAAGGGAAGCACTGACAGGCCTCTGGCATCTTGTCTGTCTGTCTGTCTGTCTCTCTCTCTCTCTCTTTGCTTTTTGGGTCATACCCGGCAATGCTCAGGGGTTACTCCTGGCTTCGAACTCAGGAATTACTCCTGGCAGTGCTCAGGGAATCATATGGGATGCTGGAAACCGAACCTGGGTTGGCCGCATGCAAGGCAAACGCCCTCCCGGCTGTGCTATTGCTCCAGGCCCCTCATCTCTCTTGTGATGTGTACTTTGGGCTCTCCCTGACTTTGGAGAAGCAGTCGTTCTCTCTCTCTCTCTGTCTCTCTCTCTCTCTCTGTCTCTCCCCCCCTCATATAAACCAGTTTGAACAAATGAAGCAGAAGCATTCATTCTCTCTCTCTCTCTCTCTCTCTCTCTCTTTCTCTCCCCCCCTTCCTCCCTCCCACTCCCACTTCTCCCACTTTCTCTCTCTCTCTCTTTCCTTCCCTCCCTCCCTTTCCTCCTTTCCTCAGCTTCTAAATAAAACCTGTTTTGACATCACTGTTGAAATCTCCTGAAATTCTTTTTCTCCAAGGGAAAGGCAATGACCTGAAAAGTCTGGGTAAGGTCCAGGACTGACTTTCCCGTCTTCGCTGCAGTCTGAGTCCATGGCTTCCCAAGACACAGGGTGGTTGGAGCAACTCCCAGGCCTGCAGAACCCGGGACGTCAGGAGCAGCCTGACACTGCCTGTGTGGCTGGTGAGACCTAAGGCCCTCACTGTGCTCATGGCAGCCTTCTCCAGTCCTAAGGTCTCCCAGGCGTTCCTGGGGTGGTAGACGTGGATCGAGAGAAAATGGCAGATCTCCTTCTAGAGGCGGCTGTCTCCCTCCTCCCCACGGCACACAAGTCACCTGGGGCCCCCACCGGCTTCACTAAGTTTGAATGTATGCCTCCCTCACATTCCCAGGCTGAATCCTAACCCAAAGCCACAAGAGGACGGCATTGGAAGGTGGGGCTTTCGGAAGGACATGAGCCCAAACATTTGAAATCATTAAATTTTGTGATCTGCTCTTTAGTATTGACATTTTCTTCTTTTCCGGAGATCAGTTTATAGGTAAAGCTGATATTAGCATGAACAATTAATTCTGGACAACTGTGTATAAACAGGTTGTTGGGATAGTTGTTGCCCCCCACCCCCCGAGGGCCTCTCAAAACTGGCCTCACTGCAGAAGGCTCGGCAGTTCTGCAAGCCTCCAGGGCCCTCCCTGCAGTACTCAGGGGGTATCAAGGGCTGCATTCAGGGGAAATATAGTGTCAGGAAGTGAACATGAGCCCCAAGTCACATCCCTGGCAGTTCATTCTCAAAAACCACTTCCTGAAAATGTGGTAGAGGGTCCTGCCTTGCAGAGTTCCATCCACAGCACCCCTCCCACGGCTGAGTATGGTCCCGCAGCACTAACACTTGTGATGCCCAATGACACAACACAAAGTATACGCTGCCTATGCCCCATGGCCAGATGCATGTGCAAGCACAACAACCGAACTCTAGCTCTGAGGAGCACCCTGACTCGTGAGTGACCCCAGCAAGCACTGCAACTAGAAACAGGAGCACCCCAGGACTGAACTGTGTGACGTGCAATGAGTACCCCGAGCAGCGTGTGAGCAGCACAGCCCACACGCGAGCCTGAACATCACAAAGGCCACCACTATGCACATCTACTCTTGTACTGTAATTAGAAAGTCTTACAGCTTCGGCCCCAGAGCTGGAGAGATGCTATCGTGAGTGGGTAGGGCGCCTGCCTCGCACAACTCTGATTCAGTCCCCAGCACCACCAAGGAATGATCTCTGAGCATAGCTGGGTGTGACCCAAAAACTATAACCAATAAATATTCAGGTGGAGAAATAATTCAATAGACGGAGCACATGCTTTGCATGCAGTAGACCCACACTTAGTCCTTAGCACCTCAAGCACTGCCAAGAGTGACCCTGCCTGAGTACAGAGCCAGGAATAGTCCTGGAGAACCTGAGTGTGATTTAAACACCACAAAGTCAGTCAGTCACTGTCTTCCCGTTTTTCATCGATTTGCTCGAGCGGGCCCAGTAACGTCTCCATTGTGAGACTTGTTACTGTGTTTGGCATATCAAATACGTCATGGGGAGCTTGCCAGGCTCTGCCGTGTGGGCGAGATACTCTTGATAGCTTTTCCAACCCAATGCTGGACACTTTGGATAGGCACTAAGTAAATACCATTGACCTGCTCTATAAATTGAGTTTTAAGTTAGGATTTGTGTTTTGTAAGATTTTGCTGTTGATTATAAACATAGATTAGGGGGCGGGGCAATAGCAAAGCAGGTGGGGCACTTGCCTTGCATGTGTCCAACCTGGATTCAATCCCCATATGGTCCCCCGAGTACTGCCAGGAGTAATTCCTGAGTGTAGAGCCAGGAGTAAATTCTGAGCATCGCTGGGTGTGACCCCAAAAGCCAAAATCATCGTTGTCATCATTATCATCATCATCATCATCATCATCATCATCATAGATTAAACCCCTATCATGTTCCAATCCCTGTACTACATTCATGCTAGGAATGCAACTCCCAATAAAAAATAAAATGCACATTCCAACTTCATTCCATCCCTATGTAGACAATCAGATTTTTTTCCCTTTGGCTTGGCTAGAAAATGTGTCATTGTCTAGCCAAGTTAAAAATAAAATACTGGGGCTGGGGGCAGAGTTCCAAAGACTGGACACATACT